AAGAGATGCATAGTTTAAGGTATTTTAATGTTTATTGTTAAACTGCCCTCCAAGATAAGGTTGTAACAATTTATATATATATTTTTATATTTTTTAACAATTTATATTTCCATCTGCAGGATATGAGAGTGTGTTTTTCCCCCATCCTTTCCAAGAATGGGTAAGATCATTTTTGAAAATCAGAGACTATTTCATGTATTTTTCTAGTACTCCTTAAAGTAATACAACAGAGCTGGAGACACAGTGGACAGTAAAGAAATAGTTTTGATAAATTGATAAATAAGTAGTGCTCTTTTCACTACTTATGATTACAGATATTTAAAAGTAAATAATTATTCATTAACTCAACACATTTATACTAAATGGGTTTGTCTTTGGTGTGCCTACTAAAAATGAATATAATACTTTGTTCGAATTACTGAAACATAAGACAGAGATGACTAGTTTCAAAGGTAATGTGTATAAAAGCTACTTTTAAAAAGAAAGTATCCTATTGTCCCAAGAAGTCTCTTGGGAATAAACAATTTGTCTCATTTTTCTAAGAATAGGAAGTACTAAAACTTCTCCTCTGGAGAAAAGGACTATGAATTTAGGATATGAAAATCTTCCCATCCATTAGCTATTAGAGTCTTCAGAATCAAGGGAATTGGCCAGAGAGGAAGTCAAAACCTGGTGTGGATTTTCATAGTCTCAGTTCATTTTAGAACCTATCCTTCCTTCAACATGAAGGGGGAAAAAATCAACACTAAGAGAGAGAGTTTTTATGTTTCTATTCATTCCTGAAAGTTTGTTTTATTTAAAGATACCTCGGGGCAAAGGCAAGTATATGGATGTCCTATTTAGTTAGGTGATTTAATTTTACAAGGCTCCTGCTAAATTATCAGAGAGATCATACTCAGGTGATAATTGGTCCCACTTTTCCAATGTACAAATCTCTCCACCTTATGTGAAGTGGTAATCATTAAAAATTAGCATAGCTTTAGAAATTACTGATTTGAAACCTCAATTAAAAGGATATATCCCATCATCCCTTTATAACATTTTTCTCTCTATGATTTGCTGAAAGTGCTAGAAAGAGTTCATAGCTCATAAAACATTATGTAGTAGAAAGAGCATGTGAGTAGGGTCAGAAGATATGGATTCTCGTCCAGTGTCTTGTAATAATAGCTACTTAACTTAGGCAAGTCACTCTTCTTGGAGCTATAGTTTTCTCCGGAAACCTGCTCTTCCATCTGGAATCTCTACTTCACAGAAATGACCATGATATTTCAGTCTGTCTCCCAAACCAAAATCCTGAGGGTCATCCTAGCTCTCTCCTTGTCATTCATTCCCTCATGTCCAATTATATATCAAGTTCCTATGGAGTCCACCTCCTTAATATTTCTCCCATCTAGCCCCTCCTGCCCACTTCACCTATAGCATATCTCATCCCGGTGTTACCACCTCCTCCTAATTTACTCCTGCCCCAGTTTGGTCTGTCTGGTCCCAAAAATTCAAACTTAATTGTTTTGGGACTTAAAATCTCCAAAGATTTTATTATTTATTAATATTGCCTAGAGTATCAAGTTCAAACTCCTTGGTTTAGTACATGAGCCCCACCCACCACCCCCTTTTTAAAAGAAGTCCTTCTACTTTTTTGTCCCACCTCTTTGTCCCTTTTCTGTGCCTACCCTGACAAAATGGAACTGCCTGCCGATCCTCTAAAGCATTGTGTTATTTGGCACCTCCATTCTTGCATAGGTATTGTTGCCTTTGTCTGAAATGCTGGTTCCCTCCCTTCTCATCAGGTTAGCTCCTCTCTGTCACTGAACATTCAGGGCAAGAATCCCATCCAGCAGCACCTGAGTAGCTCAGTTGGTTAAGCGATGGACTCTGCATTTTGGCTCAGGTCATAATCTCAGTCTCATGACATTAAGCCCCGCATCAGGCTCCACACTCAGCAGATCGTCTGTTTGGAATTCTCTCTCTCATACTCCCTCTGCTCTGACCCCCTCTCTAAAATAAATAAATAAAATCTTTAAAAATAATAATAATAATAATCCCCTCCAGTAGAAGACTTTGCTGAGCTAGGAATGTATTCTGCAATAGTGACTTCCTCGCATCCTTTAGCCACTTAGACTTTGTGCTTTCTGAAGGCAGGAACCACCTTGCCATGTCTTTTTTGCCTTTGTGTTACTAGGCCTTAGAGCTCAACAAACCCTTGTTGAATGAATGCATAGTTTCATGATTTAAAGGAAATGATAAGAACTTGCTTACTCTCGTCTATGGCCAAAAGTGACTTTTGTTTTGTTTTATTTTTCTTTCTTATTACCTTGACCAACGTAAGCCCCGAGAGGAAAGATAATTAATTAAAAGCTATTTAAAAAGCATTCAATGATCTATTTTTTAAAGGAAGTTCAACAAGAGGAGTATCTTCCTTCTGTAGTATCACTCAGCCTGGTAATAGCATTTGACGACAATAGAAATTTATTAGGTCTGGCACTCAGGTGTATATAATCTCAATAAACCTGGTCATGGAAATGGTTGGAAGGCTATAGACAGATTTGAATTATCACTTATCAAAATGTTTGCATTTGTTAACTTAAAAATATTTATTGTAGGGCAGCCTGGGTGGCTCAGCGGTTTAGCACTGCCTTCAGCCCAGGGCGTGATCCTGGAGATCCAGGATCGAGTCCCACGTTGGGCTCCCTGCTTCTCCCTCTGCCTGTGTCTGCCTCTCTCTCTGTGTGTGTGTCTCTCATGAGTAAATTAAAAAAGAAATCTTTAAAAAAATAAATTAATAAAATTAATAAAATAAAATAAAAATATTTACTGTGGAAGGTACTATGCTAGTATGGAAGATACAAGAATAAACTGTTGTATTACATTCATTAGGGAAGATCATGACTTACTGACATAATTAGAGGTAATAAATGATGAATTCCACAAGAAAGGAACAGAAGGCAAGGAATTGGTCAGCAGTACCATCTTCATTTATGAGATTACAGCATTCTACACACAAATATTAAAGCACCCACAAAACTTAAAATGCAAAAGCCCAGTTATATCTCCAAAGTACAAATATCTCAAGTATGAAAAGCAGCTAGCTAGTTAACTGTGTCATATGGTCCTAGATACCAGTTTGAAAGTATTGTGTACCAGTTCGGAACAGATTGAGCAAAAAGACTGGAACCATTTGGAAGTCCTCAAGAATATCTGAAAAAAGGGGATGCAATTAACCAAACGAGGATATGGCCCCAGGACAGAGAAATGAACACTCTGGTTCAGGGAGTCCAAGTGTCAGAAATGTACAGTCAATTCTTTATCTGTGAAAATTCAAGTTGCAGATACTCGGCAAGCAGATGGGCAGACGTGATAAAGGAATGTTCACGGAAAGATTCCAGATCACACTTCCGATTGGTCAGTTGTTTTATTTTTTTTTTTAAGATTTTATTTATTTATTCATGATAGACACACACATACAGAGGCTGAGATATAAGCAGAAGGAGAAGCAGATTCCGTGGGGAACCTGATGCGATGTGGGCCTCGATCCCAGGACCCCGGGATCATGACCTGAGCCAAAGGCACATGCTCCACCACTGAGCTACCCAGGCGCCCCTGGTCAGTTGTTTTATTTTTTATTTTTTTTTAATTTTTATTTATTATTTATGATAGTCACAGAGAGAGAGAGAGAGAGAGAGAGAGAGAGAGAGGCAGAGACACAGGCAGAGGGAGAAGCAGGCTCCATGCACCCGGAGCCCGACGTGGGATTCGATCCCTGGTCTCCAGGATCGCGCCTTGGGCCAAAGGCAGGCGCCAAACCGCTGCACCACCCAGGGATCCCTGGTCAGTTGTTTTAATGCTGTCATCAGAACTTTCCATGTAGCCAGGCAAAAAAATGACTTAATTCTACTTCTTCCTTCCTTTGATCAACTTCAGGAGGTCAAAATAATGATATAAAACTTGAAGATTAAAAGTCTAAGTCCAGCCTGCATCACAATAAGCAGTATCTGAGGAATTGAGAGCTTGGTGATCGAGGGAAAATGCCAGCTCCTTATCCCTACCCAATTTCAGCAAGGAGGTGATAGGGATTAAGAACGGGGGCAGCCCCGCTGGCTCAGCGGTTTAGCGCCCGCCTTCACCCCAGGGCGTCATCCCAGGATCGAGTCCCGCATTGGGCTCCCTGCGTGGAACCTGCTTCTCCCTCTGCCTGTGTCTCTGTCTCTCAAGAACAAATAAATAAATAAAATCTTTAAAAAAATGCAAAATAGGCAAATTTTAAAGGTCAAAAGTAATCAATGATAACGGAACTGCGCAATTTCCAAAAGCTTTTCGTGGATGAAAATACAGAAAAGTTGTCGGGCAAAATGGGTTTTCCTTAAAAAAAAAAAAAAAAAAAAAAAAAAAAAGCCTCAGACTGCAACGACCAGGGTCCTTTAAGCGCCCAAGGCATCGGAGGTGTGGCTGGGGTGCCTGAGCCGTGGGTGAGCTGTAGGTGCAGGCTCACGGGGCCCCGCCGGGTCCGCTCGGGGCTCCAGGGAGTCCCACGCCCAGGGCCGGAGGCCACCGGGCCCGCATCCAGCGGAAGGCGAGCCGGGGGTGGGCCGGCACCGGGGTGTTCCTGCCTCGCTCATTCATTCCCTGATTCACCGGCTCCGGGAGGCGGTCCGCAGGCGCGCGCGGGGCGGGCGCAGCGCCGCGGGCAGCCCGGCTGGGTGCGGTCCGGCGCCCGCGGGGAGGGCGAGCGGCGCGCGCGGGGGGCGCGCGGGGCGCGCGGGAGGGGCGGGCGCGGCCGGCGGCGCCGGAAGTGAGTGGCTGGCGGCGGGCGGGGGCAGCGAGCGGCCCGGCGCGAGGCAGTCGGGCCGTCGGCCGCCCGGCCCTCAGCTCCGCCTTCTGCGTCTCGGCCGGACGCGGCCGCCCTGGGATCGGCCCCCGCTGGGCGCTGCGGCCGCCCCGCCCGCCCGCCCGCGCGCCCCGCCCCCGCCCCCGCCGCCGCCGCCGCCGCCGCCGCCGCCCGTCGGTCAGTCAGTCAGTCAGTCACGCTGCGCGCGGCGCGGGAGCTGCGGGCGCTCGCGGCGTCTCCGGGGAAGGAGCGCCGCGCCTGAGGAGGCGGCGGCGGGAGCCGGGGGAGCGGCGGCCGCCGGACCATCGAGCAGCAGCCGCGGTGAGTGCTCAGCCTCGCCCTCGCGGCGGGCGGGGAGGCCGGCCGGGCGCGGACCGGGAGGCGCTGCCGCCGCTCCCGCCTCCATTTTCCCGGCTCCGGGCCCCGCCATCCGGGCGCGGTGCGGGCGGCCGAGCCGGGGCGGGGTCGCCGCGGGGCCGGTTGGACCACGCCCAGCGGGGCGGCGGCGGCGGCGGCGGCGGCGGCGGCGGGGGGCAGCGCCGGAGCGAGACAATGAGGTGCTGAGGTGCGGCCCCGCGTGGGGAGGGTGCGGTTCGGCTTGGACCCGGCGGCCGGGAGCGCCGCCCCCCCCCCCCCGGCTTGGCCGCAGCAACCGGGGCTTCGGCGCCCCCCGCCCCTCATCTTCCCTATATGAATTCGGCGCAGAGATGGAGAAACGCGGGGCGCCGTGCGCGTCCTCCTCTGATTCAGCGGGCTGAGTAATTGCCCCCGGGCTGCTGAGCCCGCAGTCCCCCTGGCTGTGTGCATTCCCGCCGGAAATCCAAACTGCAGTTCCCGGGGGGCGGGGGAGGGGCGGCCGTGTGCGGGTGCGGGAGGCCTCGGTCCTAAGACGGTCGGAGGTGGGGGGGGGCCGTATTCGCCGTGTGTCAGGGCGTCCCCGCAGCGCGAGCCGGGAACCGCCTGAGCCTGGGCGCTTCCGAGCGCGGAAGCCAGAGCTTTTCCGAGGGGCACAAGCGTCGCAGCGAATGTTGCCTCGCGGGTGTGTGTAGGGGTGGGGGGGCGGTGAGGGGGGTCTTGAATCCTGTGAGGAGAGCACTTGGGGAAACCGGGGGAAAATCTGAAAGGTCTTCACTTCACCTCCCGGTAAGGGTGGATGTGCCTGCAGCCTTGTCCTGGAGACGTGGGAGGCCGCCCGTGTGTCGGTGTGTAAAACCTGCTGTGTGGGAACCGCGAAGGGAGCGGGCTAGGGATACGGCGTGAACGGGTTATTAAAAGGGGGGGTGGGGTTGGATCCCCGGGTGGCCCGGGGCGTGGCCCCGGGGCCCCGGGATCCAGTCCCGCGTCGGGCTCCCTGCATGGAGCCTGCTTCTCCCTCTGCCTGTGGCTCTGCTTCTCTCTCTCTGTGTCTGTGTGTCTCTCACGAATAAATAAAATATAAATAAATAAAATTAAAAATAAATAAATAATAGGTGGCGGTGAGCTTCGTAGGAATATTAAATCCAGCGAATCGTTCAGAGTGAGGGACACAAAGTGGACAGGACCTGCAGCACGGAGTGGTTGGAGAGAGCTCGTGGAAGCCAGGCAAGCCAGAGGCTCCGGAAACCCTTGGAATTGGCTAGCAGTGTGACAGCTAAGCTATTAACTCTGAATCGTACTTTCCTATCAGTAAAATGGGAATAACCCCACCTATTTACCGTGGTTCTCCCACAGATTAAATGGGATAATGTATGCAAAGTGCTTGGGAAGCCCGGGTGGCCCAGCGGTTTAGCGCCGCCTTCAGCCCAGGGCGTGATCCTGAAGACTAGGGATCGAGTCCCGCGTTGGGTTCCCTGCATGGAGCCTGCTTCTCTCTCTGCCTGTATCTCTACCTCTCTCTCTCTGTCTCTCTCTCTCTCTCTGTCTCTCTCTCTCTCTGTCTTTCATGAATAAGTAAATGAAATCTTTAAAAAAAAATGCCTAGCACCTTTCAGGGTACTGAGGTGTTGGCAAATGTTGATTCCTTTCTTCCCCCAGCCAGCTGCTCTTGGGATTTTCCTAGGGGTAAGGTGTGTGTGTGGGGGGGGGGGGAGAAGTTAAAGTAGGTAGTTGTAATGCAGTCCATGCATTATATAATGAAATGTAGAATAAAGCTACAAAATAGGGGAGCAGAGAGGAGACAGATTAATGCTAGAGTGGGAGCGCTGAGGGAAAAATCTCAGAAGCTGCGAGATTTAAGTGGAACCTTTATGAATGGGCTAGGATTTTAAAAGAAGGAGGGGTAGGATTTCAGCTGATGTAGATGGGTAGGACATTCCAGGCCGAGGTTGGTACTACCGTTTGAGAGCCCGGTTGGGAAGACCAATGGAGGAAGGGCAAAATAGAGACGCTCCAAAGCTTTTTAGCTCTTGTTGAGTCTGACCTTCAAAGATTGTCTCTGTTATTTTGCTTTTTGTGTTGTGAATTTCCCAGAAACCAGATCTAGCCCTATTCAAGTAAGTACAAAAATGTCTACAAAGCTTTAATACATGATTTTTTGGATTAGACATTTTGTGTGATTTGGACTGCCGCTCTCTTCTGTTTGAATTTAATAAAGAATTATTTGTAGATGTCTCCTCATGGTGAATATTAGCTCTATTTGGTAGAAAAAGCAGCTGATTTTTCAGACTCAGAGGTCTCATTAAGATTATATAGTAATAACTGGCTAAAAGGAGTGGAGTAGTGTGCCTCAAATAATTTATTTTCACTAATATTTTAACACTTTATTCTCAGAGGAGGGTTTTTTTTTAACTATGTCTTTGAAAATAATTAGAATGACTTTTCTTTTGGTTTTGCTATCTTTTGGTTTTCACCCCATTAATAATTACTGTATTTTTTAGATTAGCATGGTGAGGGGCACCTGGGTTGCTCAGTTAAGTGTTAAGAGTCTTGATTTCGGGGATCCCCGGGGGGCGCAGCGGTTTGGCGCCTGCCTTTGGCCCAGGGCGCGATCCTGGAGACCCGGGATCGAATCCCACGTCAGGCTCCCGGTGCATGGGGCCTGCTTCTCCCTCTGCCTGTGTCTCTGCCTCTCTCTCTCTCTCTGTGTGACTATCATAAATTAAAAAAAAAAAAAAAAAGAGTCTTGATTTCGGCTCAGGTCATGACTGTAGGATTGTGAGATCTGGCTCCACTCTGGGCGTGGAGCCTGCTAAAGTTTTTCTCTCTTCCTCTCCTGTGTAGACTACCCGTCTCTAAAACAAAATTAACAAAAAATAAAGATTAGCATGGTGGATGACATCACACTTTCATAGATTCTATAGAATCTCTTGGCTTTGCCTTGGTTCTGAAGTAGTTCAGTGTCAGCAGTAGTATTGTTAATTCCAGACTCTTACTTTAGGAAAGTTAATATTAGCAAAACAAGATATGTGACCTCAGGCAAATCTCTTATCTTGGTTTCTTCCTTTACCTGTAAAGTGAGAAATTTGGATTAGATCACTGGTTTTCAAAGTGTGTTTTACTGAACTCTGGAGTTTTGAGGAGTTTCAAGGTTCTGTAGATGTTTTACTTAAATCTCATTAAAAATATATTTTAAACCTGTGGTAATTAAAAGTGACTACTAAATGACATGCCCTGTTGTAAATGCTTTATGTAAAATTTACTTAATTCTTGCCATAATTCTATGAAGTAGGTTGTTTTACTGTCTGAGCAGGCCAGGCACAAACTACAGAGCTTATACAGTGACAGAGCTGGGTTGAAACCAAGCAGCATAATTTTTAAGCTTGTATTCTTAGCCACATTTTTATACTGCCACCATAATAAAATAAATGGCACACATAAGTTTTTTTTTTTTGTAAAATATACAACCTGAAATTTACCATTTTAATCATTTTAAGTGTACATTTCAGTGGTATTAAGTATATTCACAGAGTTGTGCAACCATCATCACTATCTTCAGAACTTGTTCATCATCCCAAACTGAAATTACTCATTAAATAATAACCCTGTACCACCCCCACTTCTAGCCCCTGGTAATCACTTTTCTTCCTGTTTTTATGAATTCTAGGAATCTCATATAAGTGGAATCATGCAATATTTGTTCTTTTGTATTTGGCTTATTTCACTTAGCATAAGTCTTCAAAGTTCAACCATGTTGTAGCATGAATCAGAATTTCATTCCTTTCTAAAGACTGAAAACTATTCTATTGTGTGTATATACCACAATGTTTATTCATCTGTAGATAGATGTTTACTGTTTTAACCTTTTGGCTATTGTGAATAATTGCTGCTCTGAACATTGTCATACACATACCTGTTTGAGTCCTTGCCTTCAGTTCTTTGGGATATATACCCAGAAGTGGAATTGCTGGATCATATGGTAATTCTATGTTTGATTTTTGAGGAACCGCCATACTCTTTTCCACAGCAGCTACAGCATTTTACACTCCAGTAGCAAGGCACAAGGGTTCCAGTTTCTCCACATCTTCAGCAGCACTTGTTTTCTGAGTTTTCTTTTATTTTATAATAGCTATCCTAATGAATGTGAAGTGGCATCTCATATGGTTTTGATTTAACATTTTTCTAATGATTAGTGATATTGAGCATCTTTTCAATTGCTTATTGACCATTTGTGGGTTTTGATTTTTGTAGAAATGTCTATCCAAGTCTTTTGTCCATTTTTCTTTTTTAAGGATTTTATTTATTTATTTATTTATTTATCCATTCATTCATGAGAGACACAGGGAGAGAGAAGCAGAGACATAGGCAGAGGGAGAAGCAGACTCCCTGCAGGGAGCACAACGTGAGACTCCATCCCAGGATGCCAGGATCATGTCCTGAGCTGAAGGCAGATGCTCAACCGCTAAATCACCCAGGTGTCCCACTTTTGTCCATTTTTAAAATCAAGTTGTTTTTGTTGTTGAGGTGTAGGAATTCCTGATATATTCTGGATATTAATTTCATATCAGATCCATGATTTATAAATATTGTCACCTATTTCATGAATTGCCTTTTTACTCTGTTGATGGTATCCTTTGATGTACAGAGTTTTTAATTTTAATGAAGTCTGTTTATTTTTTCTTGCTGCTTATGCTTTTGGTGCCACGTCCAAGAAATCATTGTGAAATCCAATGTTATGAAGCTTTTCTCCTGTTTTGTTTTGTTTTGTTTTGTTTTCTAACAGTTTTATAGTTTTATCTCTATATAGGTCTTTGACCCATTTTGAGTTCGTATTTATGTATGGTGTTAGGCAATGGTCCAACTTCATCCTTTTACATGTGCATATGCAGTTTACCAGCACCATTTTTTTTTAAAGGACTGTTCTTTCTCCATTGAATGGTTCTGGCACCCTCATGTATGTATATAAA